AGCAGCAAGAAGATGAAGAGCAAGAAGATGAATAAGAAGAACAAGCTGGAGAAGAAAAGGAGTATAAGAAGAAGAAGATGAAGAAGAAGAATTAAGAAGAAGTATTGAAGAAGAAGAAGAAAAAGACTGAAGAAGATGATGATGATGAAGAAGAAGAAGCTGAAAAAGACGAAGAAGAAACCGAAGAAGAAGAAGAAGAACAAGAACAAGAACAAGAAGATGATGATAATGAAGTAAAAGAAGAAGGAAAGAAGATCAATTTAGAAGCAGCAGAAGAAGAAGATCGAGGAGTAGGAGAAGGATGTGAGGAACAAGAAGAACGAGATCGAAACTAMTGCGACAGAAAGTCAGTAGATTTGTCCTTACAATGAAGATAACAGACTCAATGCAAGAGGATTTTTGATCCCTCTCAAGAAAAAAGAGAATAAAGTAAAAATAGAAATAATAAATAATACAACAGCAAAGACTTTTGTTAGTTTAATATATGTCCATAGATGAGAAATAGCATAGTAGGTTGTTGTACCAGGTCGATGACATTGTAATCCTGTCGAATTTACGAACTACGTGACTTGTTGATCTATTTTGACTGCTGTTATTTTCGGAACATTGAATATCGATAACATTGACCATGTAGCCTGCTTAAATGCATTAAAGTTAAAATGGTGTCCTATTATACGGATATGAAATGAACTTAAGCAAGATTTTACATGCGTTCATTTTTTCGTGTGCAGCACCAAGGAAAGGAATTCAACATCAAACCGCACGAAATCTGAAATACACTCTGTTCAATCGAAATACCTACTGTTTCTTCGATAATAAAAAGATTATAGATACATTTGGCTTCATTTTTGTGATTTGGATCGAGCAAGGTTGCATAAAGAACACATGCAGAGGTTAGCTTGTATGCATGCAACAAGACGCAAACAGACTCAGTGATATGCATTTTGGGTCTATTTGGGGAGATCAACTGAACATGAATTAAAATAAAGTTCGGAAGACTCATTCAGAACGTTTTCTCGCTATTCAGGAGGTCTTATTCAGATGCAAGATGAAAATGATCAAGTTTAGGTTTTTATGTGTTATTGTAGATTTAGCGCTTTTAATGGTATTTCCGCGACTTTGCAACGTTAAACGCTGAACACATTGCGCGAAAACCGAGTTATACACATCGGGAACGGCCTTCATGATCACGGCGATGTCAAAAGCACTAGTCTTAAATATCACGACTGCTTTACAAGTGCATTAAGTTTTTAATAACTGACTTGTTCTCATCATATATTATTTGTCATACTATAGCCTTTTTTACTAAAAAACAACAACAACATGTTTTAGGAGTTTTTGGATTCATATCAGTAATCCTCCGAGGTGCGTGCGAAGGCAGTAGTCAAGAGTAGTGACTCTGCTCAAACTTACAGCTGTTGCGATGATATTTGACATAATAGAGTGAGGCAAAACGTCCGACTRTGTTACATGTAATGACCAGAAAGGATTGTCAACGCAAAAACTCACCCCAACAAACTCATTTGACATCCTTAATCTTATAAGAATTTTAAGTAGTGTTTTGCATTGCAATTCATATAATTTCTAGCTGTTTTTGAGTTGTTTTGCTTTAATTATAAAAGAGAAGGATCTGGAACGTCGATCACACTAAAGCTCAGGCTTATATTTGAATTTGAAGTTCGCGGTGTGTTTGTTAAAAGCATTTATCGACAAATTGCTAAAAACTTTGAATTATTTACTTCTATTATCAACACTATTAAGTSTTTTAAGTCATCAATAGGTCCTAGAAAATAACGTCAAAATCAATTAGAGTCTATTACATCAAAGAGATTTTGGATTTTGTAAACAAGTTAGCAARTTCCATGCGTTTATTTTGGAGCTAATTTAAACACAGTTGTGCTATATTTTCGAACCACTYCGGTTGCAATTAACTCTACCATCAAAAGAACGTCTAACTCTTTTGTTTAGAGCTATTTCGGGGTCAAGTTTGAGCTGTTCCTAGAACCGACCTTCTAGACAGGAAGCGATTGTCAATCACCCATGTAAGCCCCGCCTACTTAACAATGAAATCGTTTGACATGATTTGTTCAAGTTGTCAAATGGTGTCATTCTTAGCCAATGAAAAGACGATTTAAGGGAAAAGCCCCAGACCTTGAGCAATTATTAAGACTGTTTCGATCTAAATACAGCAAGCTAAAGCGAGTGCATAAGAGCGACTGATGCAGCAAATAACGGCATGAAACGGTTAAAAATCGCACTTCATTGCTGATAGCTGCTGGAGACTAAAAGGTGAATATGTTATTTGTGTGTATGTAATAAATGTAGCCTTATAAGCCTGCGTAATAACACTTGTGTAGATTTAATTATTATTTCAATCMAGGTTTTACAGCAAACGGTGCTGTGCATGAATATTTTTGCGTAAAACACACTTCTAAAAGCGCAAGTATTTTGCATAAGTAGCCAGTTTTACAGTTTTGGGTGAAATTATGCAACTGGAATACGTTGCTCAGGGACTGTGGGACTTTGTGGAATGGACTTTATACTATGTATGTAAAATACCGCGCAGTCAGACGATCGTGACGTCCTCTCTAYGGGTCATCGTATGCATAAATTTATCGACAGCCAGCTGCCACATATCAAAACATTTTATATAAAAAGCCATTGCGAATTTAAGAATTTAACGTTACTTGAAATGTTTTTTTTGTGTGGTCGTAGTGCAAYGGAGTCACCTTAAAATTTTATTGCAGAGAAAATAGAGTTGATATTTTTCGTCTTCTTCGAGACTAYTACAAGAATTTTTCTCGGTAAAATCTTCAAATTTTTCTCGATTTTTCTATTCATGCGATTTAAAAATGTTTGAGTTTCCAATTTTTTCAAAAGTTAAGCAAACAGAATTCAACACAAATAAGAAGCTGAATATTTACAAAAATCGAGTCTGAAAGATAATTAAATTTAATATTGAAATTGTATGTTTTGATATTAAGACAACATGAGTCAGACCACCCGTCATCTGCTGTTTTCGTGATCAACTCYAGCGCACGACATTCTCATTTAATTTAATCAACTTTCTCTTTTAATTTTGCCTTTTAGTGTTGCGAAAATATAATCGTTGAAGTTGATGAAAGACTGATTATATTAGCCGCTCTTTCCGCTTGATTTACTGACTCTTCCAGAAACAGCTAGTTGTTGCCTTCAGAAACTTTTCTCATTTGAATTTTGCTCTTCACTTGATTTTTCAAAGTAGGRAAACAAAAAGAAAAACTGTCATTAAAAGTAGGCTATTTGCATCTATTGTACGGCCTTGCTTTGAAATCATCGGTAGATGGGATATTTTAACAATGTATCTGGTTGGATTACCTTCACATTGCCTATGATATCTCAAGCAAAGCGAGAGAAAAACAAAATCATAAACACAAAAACAAACAAACTTTAAATCTTCGTAGTGGATATATATATATATATATATATATATATATCTTTTGTTTTATCGTAATTCAGTTTCTTCCTGACAATTGTTAGTATTTGTTCAGTAAATTCAACATCAAATGTCCGCCACTAGACCTTGCAATTGTAAACAAACAGCCTAGATCTTACCTCAAGACAAAAAACATGGACATTTTTTTCAWTTTTATTTCTTTCGATTTTTTCGCCGTGTTTTTTCGTAGCTGATTCAATAATTTCTTGAAGAATTTGCCAAGTAAAACACGTACTAAAAGCAACTCGCGATCGTAAACACTAAAGATTGTAGACTGACAAATTGAGGCTCAAAGCTCAAATAGTTTTCCGACTCATAAAAAAATAAAGATTTTGCATAACAGATGAATGCTAACAGCGCTCTAGCCTCGGGTTATAGTATCTTTAGAAAGCTAAAATTAGACCTTTTGTGCAATTTGACAAAACATAAAGGCCAAAGAGGATTCTGGGRTATGCTATGGTCGATTCCATGATCTTGASTTTGGAWAAAAGTTTTCTTGCAAGCAAGAAAATGCAATATAGATCCCAGAAGGACTAAAACGATATGATTTTATATACATAAATACTTCGACCTCGAAGAAGAACGTTTAAATTCTCAATCGCACCTCGAAATTACGTCCTGACTCAGCCCTCTCTTGGGAAGTCAATTCCACGATGGATTTAAGCACGAATGGCCATTCCAAACAGGCAGAGGTTACTTTATCTTATTCATGAAGAATGTATTTTTAATAATACCGTTTAAATGGGTTGTTTTCGGGATATTTTAGAGTATTTTCCATGCATGTTAGCTCGCAGCCATCTTGTTTGCAGCTCGCTCGCTTCACAAGTACATCACTTGCGCGACAGCACGAATAAGTTCAACTTGTTCAAGTCTCTTCAAGCGTCCAATGTTCTTTGGCCTCCAATAGCTTTCTCCTCCAGTTTTCTTACTTTTTAAACATCTTTTCCTGCAATATTTCCATTATTATTTCCATTATTAGTAAAAAGTGACGGATAATCAGTGGACTTTCTTTCGTTGGTATAACGCTACCGCGCGGTGTGTTGCACAAGGGGAACGCAGTTTGAATTCGCACTTTGCAAATTGTGCTTATAAAGCTGTTTTGTAAAGCTGTTCATTTGCTCTGACCATTTCATGAAATTGCTTTACGTATATGAATCTTCAAAGATTTTTAAGATAGGAAACTAAGTATAGTGAATCTATGGAAGCTCTGTGAGGTTTTTGCCTCTGGCGAGCTTTACCTTCATGAACGGTAACTGTTTCAACATTCTGTAGAAACAATATCATGGTCGAATTTATGAAATTATACTTTTTTATGAAACAACACAAACGCGCGCAAAAGCGAAAATGATATCTCTTTTTATCTATGAACAATGAATATACTTATTGCATTATTGTGAACAAGAATTGGCACGAAAGTGAACCAAATGGTGTCCTTAGATTCGAAAGTTTCAATTGTTCTCAGTTTTAAGGCCTCTTTAAAAACTTCTAAAGTGAATGCGAAACTGAACATCACAAAATGAAGTAAATCTTTGGTTAATGAATGCGCGTGTTGGTAGTTCAAACGTACCCATGATCTTTTAGAACGAAGATAGTCCATCCGTTGAATTTTCACTGGGTTTTTGACAATTGCACGTCTTTTAAGCTAAACGTTCTTGTTTTTCTTCTGAAATGATGCTTGGGATGGCCTACATGTCTAGTCCAGTGAGTTTAAAAGCTGTTTTTCTAATTTCACACTTTCGCCCACTCTGTAATGTCACTTATGTGGATGGCACTCAGCTGCTTTTCCAACATGGCGGCGTGCAAACTGTCGAACAGTGAACCAACAGTTATTTTACCGGTTTTACTATACACTTCCCTTTCTAATGTTGACGGGGACATTTAACAATATTTAAGCGTTTGTATTGCTCTTTTTGTCATTGAATTTTCTTGATTTTCCTACTCAGATACAAGAGTTTATCGATGAAAACTTTACCAACATGGCTACCGATGCTCTTCCAGAAAGTACTTTAACAGTTCTTTCTTCCTCTAACCAAGGCGCTGTACGAGATTCTCAGCCTTCAGACACACAAACAATCACTCCAGAAGAGATTATCAGTGAAGATAACAWCGAAAATYTCTTTCTTCTGCTGCAAGCAMTCGTCAATTCTTACCMKTTATCACTGAGAGAAKRTTCTATCATAGATTCTTCGCAGCAAAATGCGGGATTTGATGACGGCTTTACAACACAAAACATCTTTTCAGAACAGAATCAAGTCTTATTGGAACAGAATTCTGCTAAAGGACAAAGCAATCATGAACTTCTTGAGATTCCATACTCAAACCTTGAAGATGAGGAACCAGCAGAGAATATCTCTGACCGCGCTAGAGACAACGCGATTGTTGATATGGTTGTAGAAGCTGAGTTAGAAAGTCTTCAACTTCTCTCTCAATATGACATTGATAATACTTTCGCATGCCTTCAGATAACAACCARTGAGGATCTTCCGACGATAGAGTCAGCTATGAGCGATGTAGCCAATGTATTTGATGTTCAGTCACTTGAACRARAAGCTGAAGACGAAGACATGGATTTCTCTCTACCAAAGCTGAGATCCTGGTCCAGTCGTTCGAGCATTTCGTCTGGTTATTCCTCAGATACACCGCATAATCAAGATGTTCTTGACTTTTCCTCTTACGAGGCAATCGTCCCTACAGGTAGACCTCTTATTTATCATTAAATTTGCAAGTGATTTGTACGCCCGCATTTTAAGCATGTCAATTTAGATAAGCAATTAATATGTTGTTCGCAAACTGAAATCTTTCAATGTGATTACAGATAGAAATTTCATTATAAGACAAAACACATAGCTTTTTTTTCGTTATTTTAATCATGAAAGAAACCTTAGATAACATTCCTGGATTCTTTTTTGTTCTCGCTACTTTTTAAAACAGTTGCAACACCGGTAACATGTCACCTTGCCATTCAGCGCGCATTAGTAATAACGGTCATCGCGAAGAAAGAGAACATGATTGACTACTTATAGCTAGTTTATAAAACTTGTTCTATGTATTTYATTAAATCGGTCAAATACTTGATTAGAATGTGCTAGCTCTCATGAAATGATATTTTAMACATTCCCAGTAATCTTGTCAAAATTTCCATGAAAAACTTCGTTTTGCATCGCACAGACAAATCTTTACAGAAAAGACTTTTCTTTAGTTTCAAATCACTGAAACTTGTTGGACAATGATGCGTAACACACCTCAAAGCTATTGACAGCGTCTATCAACTTATTTTCGTGAGCTAAAGTGTACGTTGAACGAAGCCATAAGACATCRCAACCGCTAGTTGATTAAAAACGTTGAAAAACTGATCGATGGATAGAAAAGCCGTAGTTTCATCCCGCGTGTTTTTAGACTGTTCTCTTCAGTACTTTCTTGTCGAAGCCAGCTAAACTTTGATACAAATTGAAATTGAATACGAAGAGAAYTTCACTGTCCACATGGGCCAATGTTGGCCGCCATTCATTATATCCACTAACTGACCCACGAGTCTTTTCTCTGTACTTTGAACTCTTTTCTCGTGAAAACTGGTCACGTGTGTACACCAAAAGTGATCGCTGATTCCCGATAAATATTTTAAACAAGAACTCTGTAATAATATAGATTATTGAAAATTAAAGGCAMAAGCCTTGCATGATGATTTCTGTTACACGTTCCAAGCAAATATTCCGAGCAACTGATCTATATGCTTGTCACGTGATCAGCTATTGTAGCTGTCATATCACGTGACAAACCAACACCGCGTGACTAAAGAAACCAGTTTCTGCGTGTTGATAGTTTGTGRACAAAAGAGAGGTCACGTGAGTAGTTAGGAATGCTTGGTATGTTCTTCCTGTTTTGATAAGATGCGTGACTAAATTGCGTGACACAACAACATTCAGTGAGAAGGTAGCTGTGTCAGGTTCGAAATGAATTCGAATTCGTCTTGGAACAAAAGATCGAGGAAGGAAGAGTATAAACCACAAAATGTTAGAGCTGATTTAGCAGAGAAATGCTTAGAAAACTGTTATTTCTGAGGATGGAAGGACATCTAGGTTTGCAGACAACCAACCTGATCGACTAAAGGTATTTTCCAGCGAGATACCGTCTCAGACCGAGTTCTTTCAGAAATCTTTTCATTACTATTTTTTATTTAACAATTTAAAAACTAATTCGACATTTTAAGGTAATGTACTCTTGTTTAGTTATTCTAGTTATTCTTCATAATGAGTTATTCTTAATGATATTTTTTCAGGAGCCCATTCTCCTGACTTTTTCGAGAATCCGATTGCGCAGTCGTCTCTTTTTATCTTTTTTCATTCGAGAAAAGCTTTTATTGCTCCATAAATACTTTCACAGTAAAGAACATAAAATTGAGTTCTTTTTTCATATCTTTAGTTATAAATTTAGTGCGTGCGTGCGTGCGTGCGTCCATATGTGTGCGCATGTACTCTCGCTCAAGATGCGTTACTTTGTGCGCAAGTTGGTGGTAACTGTGAGATAGAAATTAATTGTTGTGTTCGATTTTCGATTTCGTTCGTTTTATACTTTTATAAATATAGTCGAAGCAATTTTCAGAAAATTCTGTGTAGTTTTCATACTGAAATTTACGTGAATGTTTCTAAGCTTCCGCGTTATGTTTTTAGAGTTTTGGGGCGGAGTATCTTATATATTTTTCAACCCTGCAACCTTACTACATTTTCCTAAATTTCCATTTTTGTTTGTGAACTTGTAAAAACGTACAAAACGAAGCGTATCATCAATTCATGAATAATTGATAAAGATTATTGAATATTAATTAGATACCGATGAGTTGGATCCAGGCTCCCCAGAATGGCATCACATCGCGCTGCCAGAATGGACCAAKCAGCAAGTGCAAGAGTTTTTGGACTGGATCTGGAAACTTTACAGCCTTCCCTCGGTRCCTGATAAGGACGCGTTTGATGTTGATGGCGCCGAGTTATGTTCCCTGTCACTTGAAGATTTGATGCAAAAATCCAAGCATGGAAGCTTCTTATATAAAGTTATTAGATGGCTCTGTGAGCCAGGTGAGATTGCGTCTTTTATAGAAAATCAAAAAAAAAATCTATACTCCCAGTAAATTACCCCGGCCTTCTGCTAGCCCTAGTTTCCCGTTTATTTATTTATTTATTTATTTATTTATTTATTTGTCTTGTTTCAGTTTCTGTTGTCTTCTGTGAAGGTAGGTTTTTTTTAATTAGTTTGTATTCCCTTGTATAGTATAGTTAAACAGACTCGTCGCCAACCTTTYCTCTGTTTTTGCTACACTCGAAGGGGTTGATGGGAAGTCTTTCGACTCCCCCATGATGCCTAGCGCGCCACATAAAACACRGAGRGAAGGGACTGAGTACGAGCATAAGRTTCTAGCTACATTTTCTTTTAGKGCGATTCATATTAATTCAAATTAACTGAAAGTAACTTAACTTGTGCAAATCACTGTGTTGTTCAACAGATATAGTCAAAGAACCAAGTCTTGCTATGCAAGGTACGAAATACCCATCAGTACTCCCTGAGGGGAGAAAATTGTACGTTCACCTCATTCCCGCGCCTACCCAATTTGAAATGGCGGTGAAAGTAGAGCTGGCAGTCTTAACGTGACTGCCTTTTTTGAAGTCCAATTTCCATCGGATCGTGAAATATTTAACTTAATTTCTATTTTTTCACTTATTTCACTTAAGTATTTATGCAAAAATCAGATGAGAAGTAAGCGGTTAAGARCAGAATAACTTTCAGTTCTTTCTTCGTTTTCTTCTCTTTCTCCACTTAATTCACGCTAAAACAGCTTAAGCTAATAGAAATTTGCATAAATAGATCCCAAGCCAGGCTATAGAGCAATGATTATTATTTGTTTTGACTTTCTATTAGAAAATATTAGCCCTGCATGACTCTTAGTTATTGTTTCACAGTTAAATGAAAACCACTTTCATTTCTTAATTGCAGCTATGTTGTCAATGCGTCAGGATTCATTCACATTGGACGGTAAGCATAGTTATATTTCTTATAAATTTGCTAGTCCTTCGTGTTAAATTTGCGTCCTTGGGCTTCCTGTGTAGTGATAGTGATAGAGTTTCCGAGTACTCTCCGTCAAAGGTCAGTGGCTTGGGCTTCCTTTGTAAAGATTCGGCATCTTAGATTTCCGATTTCACTGCGAAAAATATACGTTACTGTACGAGGAAAGATTTATAACTTTCAAACTTACTAGTCGTTTTGAATCGAGTCCTTCGAGTTCTTTGATGCGAAGACAAAGCTACAGTTATCGCTATCATGGTGGCGTAGATCCGCGTCTATGACGTCCTAAAAACAATACACTCAGTTCCATCAGTACTAAATACGCCTCTTCAATTTGTTGCATACCAAAGAGCTAATCACTGACAAATGACGCGATTGATCAAGACTTGGCGCGTCGCCGYGATTATCTCGAAGCATCTTCCGTATCAGTTCAAGAGGGGGACATTTCCGGTCTAGAAGTGATGAAAAATGAAACGAAAAATGAAAAAAATCGTGTTAGTTTACCGCAAGAAGGTCAATTTCCGTATAGCTTGATTTTTGTATATTGTCAGAAATARCGCTTACAGTTAGTCTAGAAACTAAGGGGTCARCAGGATTTCGATTCCTACACGTAGTCAGGATCTTTTGTAGCCTTTATTGCGTTTTTCGTCACGCTTTTACTTGCGTTTCCGTTACAGTCCACTTTATTTTTGTGGCGTTTTACGTATACTACAACGCTTTCTTTTCTTTCCTTATTCTTGTTGTTCTCCTTGGCGTAACGCGTCACTTTAAGTATGGATGCGTTCTACAGTCTGCGTATTCCATTGCGCATTTCTTGCGTTTCCGTAATGCCTCACTTGACGTTTTGCGTTACCGCAGGTACGCTTCATGACACGGTGTTTATATGACGATCGGAATCACGAGTTAAAAGTTGTCTGACCTTGAAGGGCTTSAATTGAGGGCGTTTGCCCAGACACGTGGCGGTATCGCTTGCATCCTCTAAGGTGAATTAAATGAATTTGCGCAAATAAAAACTCGAGAGGAATGGTCTTCAAATCTGTTTTCTTTTTTCGTCAGACTGAATCACGAGAACGACTRTGAATTAGTCTTGGATATAAACACGCTTTAGTTGAATCTAATTAGATTTCTTTTTGTATTGTGTTCTTTGAGTATCATGCCCCTCCAGGCTATCAGATTTTGTTTCACTTCAAAGTTGTTTTTCCCTCTTCTATGAATTCCATTTAATTTTACTTTTGAATGTTTCTAGTTAAAGCTATAAGCTTAAGCAACATTGGGCCACAAGGCAGCCTATGTTAGTTAGTTATTTAGTTATAAGAACTAAATAATTATGGCAAAATCGTGAAAAAAATGTAGTTTATATGAACAAATCGAAAGTGTCATCTCGTAAGGCCATATGGTGTCAGTACATTGAATTAGAAACTGTACAGATACTCTCTCAGTTTGAAAATGATATAACAAAATCAACTTAAACAAGGAAGTCATGATAAGAAAACAAAACAACGGATTTTACGCATGTKTAATGTTTCTTTGTAAACTAACTGTGTCAACAGATGAAATCGGGCAAACACAGCTTTAGAATTATTATCATAATAAAAAAGGAAAATCATTTTCAAAGATCTTCGTTTGACGAGGATAATGTGACATTAAACTAAAACTTAGACTTTAAACTTAGACAGTGATTAATCATTTTTATCGTATTAATTATGTCTCTTAAATTTACAAATTTTAATTACGATGACATCGTTCAATAACTCTTGCATATTTATATTTATATTATTTATTTCATCATTTATTATTATTCACATTTGTTAGCTAGATATTTTTATCTACCATTTAGTATTTCTGCTGTTTTGAAAAATTAATTCTATACTGGGCTTCATCCAAATTGATTCTGCGTAGCGGTTTTACATTCGTTCCCAGGGGAATAYTCATCATGCATCAGATATATATTCAAATTTCATCCCAAATGCTTATCAAATATTAACCATATTAGCTTTGGCTTTTGTGTTACATTTATGCAGTCTTACTTCCTCAAGCAAAATGTCTTTATTTAAGTATTTTACTTTTCAATGTGAAATATTATATGTTATAGTTATGAATCTCATGATTTCCGTGTGGAATTCAACCAATAGCAGCCGTTATCTTGACTTATCTAGAGCTTAACCAGTGACGTATTGACAAGTCTTGTGTGCGTAGGAGTTCAAAAGCACTATGTATATTCCAGAGCATTCTTRTGCTGTCGTTTAAAACAAATTGCGTGATATACAAGACAGTTAAATACAAAAAAACCTTTAATATACATTTATATTAGTGAAAGATTTTWGAACTAAATAAAAGGGATATGTTTTGTGGCAAATGCCTGCGTTTCCGATTGGTCTTCGGAACATTGATACGTGCAGACAACTTCCGGGTGCTCCGTGTCKGCCTGGTTACGTGTTACTSAGCGTACTTTAAACGCAAATTTCTCGACTCTMCAGATATATTTTGYGGTAAAAACGTGCTTKTTTGTWGTAGTTTGTTGCGAAATTTCGTTTGCCATGCTTCAAGGAAATGAGACCCATTCATCCGAATCATGATTATGTAAATTATTCGCTAGAAAACAAAATATTGCATCTCATTATATTGCATTGAACTCGTCAGGGGAGGGGAGAGTATATATTTTGAAATATGATATTAAACCTAAAAGCTTTACATTTTGATCTTTTATATTCTACAGCTTGAATTATAAACTATATTCACGTCATTCAGAGCATAATTTGTAATGTGTTTTGCTCTTTAGATGCGAATTTAGATTTGTTTTAATTCAAGTACTTTACCCCTCCCGTGCAATAATTTTTTTGTCCGTATAGGATCTTACGATTTTAGCAGTTTACTTAGCTCAGTGCAACGAAGGAGCCACTCAAGAATTTCTCTCTCTACGCTGCAGAAAATGCCTTATTACTGCTCTCTTAGGATATTTAGCAAAGAGAAAAAGAAAAAGAATCGAAGAGGTACAGTGATTTTATAATTTAGCATTYAGATCTAACACAACCTTGCCGACACGGAACCGAATTTACATCGGCCTGGCTCGTACTGCCAGGCTCAATTTTTCCTAAAACGGCTGTACTTTATCACTTAGAAGTGCTAGCTTGTTATTTAACGGTTTACAAACTTCTTGAGTGTTTTCMAATAGCTTTGGGGACGATCTATTTGGGTAMATACAGAAGCCATGTTTAAAAATTCCCGAGCGAGSTAACAAGCTTCCGTGTCGGAGGCCCGTTGACTTAGATGTACTTTACTAACTTGTAATGACCCAAAAAGTCGCTATTCTGCTATAAAATTAATCCGTTTCTTATTGACATAGCTCAAAGTAATAGATCAGTGAATAGAAATGGCTATAATACCTCTATTTTACGAACAGAGGTCGGAGCACTAAGCTCAAGGAAGCACAACCTAGTGCAGTAGCGAATGGTGTTCGTCTTATCAGCTATTTTTAGCATTTCTGCTTTATACAAAAGCTCACTGGGTTTAGCTAAGTGTCGTAGCTTTAATTTGAAATAACAAGTGCATATCAGTGACAGAGAAAAGAGTTTAAGACYAGAATATCATTAGCCACAAACTGTAATTAATGAAATTTCTTCCGAAAACTCGTGATTACTTGTTTATTCTCGCATGTTGACAGCAATTCAAGTCAAAGGATTGTTATTTATTATGATTTAGCGACAAATTCGCCCTTCCATAGGCCTTTACAGCATTAACAGATATGTTGGAAGTGTATAATTTTGGAATATAGAGAGCTTTGTCGAAAGCCTTTGCAAATATCCCGCCATAAAACCTCGTCGAATTGCGATATGCAATTATCTATAGAAATGCTAAACTACTAACATGTACCGTTAAAAAACGGACTTAACTGGAACCTAATCCTTCAACTATGTAAAGGAATAGCTTKAAAAATAGTCGAGATGTCTTTTAGAAATGCGAATGTCATATCCTAACGTCTCTATGTTGTTTATAAAATGTTTCCTGTTCAATCATGTYTTTAATTATACGCATTTGAATTAAAATTTATCGCAGTTGTTATAAGAATATAATCCCTGAATAATTTTGTATTCTAGATCTAAAGCGAATGTTTTTAATTTGCATGAAGGAAAATAAATAAACAATTTTCATTTTTGCGGCTGCAAGTTTGGTCAATGTGGAAAGTGAAATTCACTTGGAAGGTAAAAAGCAATCRCTTTGCTATGCACAATGCTTTCAACAAAACTTTTCTGTTTTTATACAAWGGAAAGAAAGGCAAAGGCGCCTGGAATCAGCTGAATTGTTCGCTTTTTCCTCAATTATCCAACCYGAAATTAATCTTCTTGTTCGAGATATTTGTCTTAAATTAAGAGTTATAAACAAGGAAGTAGGTTTACCGAGCGCTTGCATGACAAATTGTTGAATAAAAAGAAAAAAAATCATCAATGAAAATGCTAAAAATAGTCGTCTGCTCTCAAATGTAATTCGATATTAACAGTTTGAAGATACAGTACTTATCAATCGTTTCTCCTATATTATAGTATAATTTTTCTCATGCTAATTTAATTTAGCTAATTATAATATTTTCAAAAACATTCTCCTCTTGAATRTAAATCGGAAATGGTAAAAAAGTCGTAGTTCTGAGAAACACTTGACGTACGAAAGCGTTTGTTRTTTGACCCGTTTCGCTTTATATATGGAAGCCTTCGAGACTGCAGAACGATCGTGAGTTTAGATACCCGAGGTGTTAATAAAAATTTAATTTGAAATTATTTAATTTTTTCTTAACAGGATCCATTCGCCCTGAGTATGTTAGTACCGATGATGCTAGACCTAAACGAACAGAAAACCCTTCCGGTAAGTTCGATGCTWAAACGGAGAAATGATTTATGGAGACTTGAGTCACATACGGAATTGCGTTACAAGAGATGTTATGTAATGTCACGCTAGAACGACTTATTACTGGCCATTTGGAGATACATTTGTTGTGTTGAAAATCTCATCCTTTCCTACACCTACCTATGAGAGATCTTTTCAACACTTGAAGATAAAATCTGTATCTATGCTYGCTTATGTAATACCCTCTTAATGTTTTTAACAGTATTTTTGATTTGGTTTCCAGATGTGAATGAGAAAGACAATCTKAAAGACTGTACATGTCCCAATAATCCCGAAAGGGAGGCAAGAAGTTCTGGTAAGCAGTACTTGATGATAACTCTCCACTATTTCCCATAAAGATACCATATTTATTCTCATCATTCTACTTTGACAGTGACTCTTCTAACTACAATAACAACATTATAAGAACAACAACAGCAACAAKGATTTTATTGTTTCCAGTCTCCATGTTAAAAAATGGAGAATCATCATCACCACTCACCCCTCCCYTGTCACATACTATCAAGACCAGAATGCTTTGCCCACTTTTTAAAATGTTATTAGTCCCTATTGTTCTGGTAATCCCCAAAGGGATTAAAAAAATCTGAATGACAAAGAATTAATCCAAAACATTCTGGTAGTGAAATGATGTCATAATGCATCATTTTGTAGTAATAACACTTTTATCATCTTTTAGCATCATCTACGGTCCTCACTCCACCCCCCAACGGCATCACGTCGCCCTGTGTACCAGTCTCTCCACGACACTATGGTTCWCGGTTGTGGCCCCCTGATGCGTATGCGGCTGCTAATGGCCTCGCTGCGCTGAGTGTYATACGACCGCTGTATCCAATGCGCGATGGACTACCWCCAGTGCCTCCYCTCATTYCTTCTCCAACAAGTCCAAAGATGATGAAATTTACGCACTTTAAGCAAACGCTCAGCCCGGAAAAGGCATCGGTTAATAATGGAGATATGGTGTCGCCTACCAGAAGAGAAGTGTCGCCATTAGAAACAACGCGAATCGAGGCGTTTTCCAAGTCACCGATGTTTGACAAACCGTTTCTGTCAAGAAAAAGGGAACACTCGCCAGAGAAAAATCATTTCAACTTCGACAACTCTCTGATCGCCAGCAAGAAACAGTTCATTGCAAACAGCCAGACTCTGACGTCAGCTGGTCAATTAGACGAAATCCACCGTCGCACTTCACCAGGTCAGTTAGCAGATATCCATCGTCGCACTTCATCGGGTGAATTAGCAGATATTCACCGTCGTACTTCACCAGGTCAGTTAGCAGATATCCATCGTCGCACTTCATCGGGTGAATTAGCAGATATTCACCGTCGTACTTCACCAGGTCAGTTAGCAGATATCCATCGTCGCACTTCATCGGGTGAATTAGCAGATATTCACCGTCGTACTTCACCAGGTCAGTTAGCAGATATCCATCGTCGCACTTCA